ACCCCCCCAACATGTAAGTAACAGAGCATTCTTTGTACATTTGCTTGCATTTAATTTGACCTTGTCCTGAAAAGTGAGTTTTATCTTTAGGGGCTTAAAATTCACTACTTTAGTGAAGCTTAAGAAAAAATATTGACATTAAAAAGCATAAGAACAAAAGAGTGTCTTAAGAGAGACAGATGGGGGGGTGGGGAGGATACTATTAAAGGTCCAAATAAGACAAACGAAAAGAAGGAAAGATGATTAGTTTTTTTTAATTGATTGATAGGAAATTATTTGAGAGACACATTATCCATGAGGCAGTAAAATGATTCATTACTTCTAATCTGGTTATAATGTTACTTGCGGCAACATCCAGGTTCATCCAGTCAGCTCTGGTGGCTTCATCTTATATATTGGATATATAGGTGAAATAATTAAGGAGTTGAAGAGACAACCCATGGGTCAACTTACCTGACTTTGACATAGTCTGAAAGAAGCCACCTGTAAATAGCTTTTGTGGCATGAGTCATAAATGTCCTTCCTTTAAAACTTGTTTTCTGCAAAAACCATGGTAAAGCCCCACAGTGATCTAAATGGAAACTTAAAATAGACACACAAATCCAATTAATACATTAACATTACACAACACTGATATATACTACACATCATATAATTCACTACTTCACTGGCTTAACATAGCATCACAAAAATCCAGAAACAGAACTTTCAGCCTCGTTGTTAACTACGCTGGTCTATACCTTGTACACTAGTGATTAGAAATGCAACCAAGAAAAGGTAAAAATTCTCTTTTAATTGCAAGTTTTACGCTCATACTCTCAACATTAACTTTTTTTGTAATTTACATATAATTTAGAGGGAGAAAAGTAACAGGAACCAGGAACACAATAAAGATCTAAGATACATGAAAGCTAACAAACATGATCCTAAGTTTGCATGTAGGACTAAAACATGTACTAAAACAATTTTATTTGGCCACATTTCTGATTTGACCTACCTTAAGGAAGTACTTTTGAAATACAAGTAGAACAAGCATATATCACAAAAACATAGTATTTTATAGAGACCTGCTTATGACTGGTTAAGTAATTTACAAGTGTCTCTCCTCATCTCCCAGCCACTAAACAACATTTTAAACAACATTCAAAGCTTGCATAACTCTGAGAACCCTTTTAACTCAAAGCCAATAGAGCAAAAACCACAACCAATACTTTTCAGCAGTCTTTACATAGAAAACTAATTCTAGAAGTTGTCACAATGGTGTTAAAGCAGGCCGGGTTATAAAAGAGTCATGACAACACAGTGAGCTCCAAGGAGAGTTGTAATGTCAAAAGTGATTGAACATCCTTAATTTAAAAAGGTGGAAACTAAAACTTTGCCATGCCATTAGCATCTATATAACACCTATTTTCAGCCTCTCTTTATAACCTACAAGTCAACACTGACCATGACCTCAGTATATTTGCTCTTTTAGGTGAAACTTACTGACTAATTAGGAGGAGATCAATCTCAGCAGGATCTATCAAATCAATGTAAGGAAGAGCATCCATTCCTTCCAGTCCTGGATGGATACCACAATCAAGCTGAAAAATGAACAAAATTTAAAGCTTCTAACAGAACGTATAAAAACCTCCTCTTCCATTTTGGTCTGAAATACAGTTACTAGTGACTAGCAACTTTTAGCATTATGCAAAAAAACTTAAACATTGCTTTTAGCATTGGATTTCACTTATTGGGCTTCCGTCTAGATGACTTGTCTCCACTGGGACACTGAACACCTTTCAAAAGATCCCAGTCTTTGTTTATAATTTTGTACCTATGATGCAAGCCTTTATTTACACTTCAACAACATCTGAATATACAGAACTAGTGTATGTAGGTTATTTTAGACACCATCTAAGAAGACAGCTGGAAAAGGGAACATGTATGTGTTCACATGTGACTGTAGGTAAACATCAGCCTCAGGTTCCACTAAAACCTAATACGTGTACATTTTAGAATCTACACTTAAGACATACATTCTGTTTAGGGATATGGATTTATTTTATAGTACAGCCTCTGTAATGCCTACTATCATATACGCTATAGTGTTTCAGAAAGCTACAAAATGAGCCTCTTCTAGCACAAAGCCCAACTTCAGGGAGGAGGCTGAATTCAGCCCACAAAATCTTTTTGTGATCTCAAGTACCATAATGAGAGGGCATACAAATACATTTATGCAATAATTACCATTATTTTTCTTCCTTTAAACTCCAGAATAATGCATGACCTTCCTACTTCTTGGCCGGCACCCCTGCAAAAGGATATCAAAGTCATCAAAATTAAAACAACCCACAACATATAGATCACAGAAACACAGGATTGTTAAGGTTGGAAAAGAGCTCCAAGATCATCAAGTCCAACCATCAACCCAACAGCACCACGTCCCGAAGTGCCACATCCGCATTTTTTCTGAACACTTCCAGGGACGGTGACTCCACCACCTCCCTGGGCAGCCTGTGCCAGTGCTTGGCCACTCTCTCCGTGAAGTTCCAATGCCTGACCACTCTCTCCATAAAGACATTTTTCCTAATATCCAATCTAAACCTCCCCTGGCGCAACTTGAGGCCATTTCCTCTTGTCCTATCACTAGTTAGTTGGGAGAAGAGGCCAACACCTTCCTCACCACAACCCCCTTTCAGGTAGTTGTGGAGAGTAACAAGGTCTCCCCTCAGCCTCCTCTTCTCCAGGCTAAATAACCCCGGTTCCCTCAGCCTCTTCTCCTAAGACTTGTGCTCCAGACCCCTCACCAGCTTCATTGCCCTTCTCTGGACACACTCCAGCACCTCAGAGTCCTTCCTGTAGTGAGGGGCCCAAAACTGAACACAGGATTCAAGCTGTGGCCTCACCAGTGCCGAGTACAGGGACACAATCACTTCCCTACTCCTGCTGGCCACACTATTGCTGATACAGGTCAGGACGCTGTTGGCCTTCTTAGCCACCTGAGCACACTGCTGGCTCATATTCAGACAGCTGTCAGCCAGTACCCCCAGGCCCTTTTCAACCGGGCAGCTCTCCAGTCACTCCTCCCCAAGCCTGTAGTGTTGCATGGGGTTGTTGTGACCCAAGTGCAGGACCCGGCACTTGGCCTTATTGAACCTCATACAGTTGGCCTCAGCCCATCGATCCAGCCTGTCAAGACCCCTCTGTAGAGACCTCCTACCCTCCAGCAGATCAACACTCCCACTCAACTTGGTGTCATCTGCAAACTTACTGAGGGAGCACTTGATCCCCTCATCCAGATCATCGATAAAGATATTAAACAAAACCGGCCCCAAAACTGAGCCCTGGGGAACACCACTTGTGACCGGCCGCCAGCCGGATTTAACGCCGTTCACCACAACTCTCTGGGCTCGGCCATCCAGCCAGTTCCTCACCCAGCGAAGAGTAAACCTGTCTAAGCCACGAGCTGCCAGTTTCTCCAGGAGAATGCTGTGAGAGATGCTGTCAGAGGCTTTACAAAAGTCCAGGTAGACAATGTCCATGGCCTTTCCCTGTCACTATGTATCAGATGCCTTCGGTGGGATTACTTTTATGTGTAGAAATAATGCCTGCAGAGTTGTTTTAAGCTCAGATATTTAAAGTAACTGAACAGGTCTATTTATCTCAGTGGAAATTAAACCCTATATAATGCTGCAGGAATAAAAAGAATCTGTTTTGGGAAATTATTTTGGTGTCCTCTTGTTTTCACTGCACGCCTGCACACTCAGCTCTGAAAATTACATAATTAGTTGAAAGTTTAATTAAATAACAAATTGCTGAGCTGAATAAGCTTGAAGTGGCATCTTCAAGTTGTCCAGCAGTCAAGTCTTGTGATGCTACCAAGTCCACCTTCAAATTACACGGGCGTCTTTACCAGAAAAAAATTCAGCTTAAAATACTACCAAAACCATAACGTCAGCAAAGCACAAAAGGCAAAAAAGTTTTTTTGCTCAGACGACACTTCAGTATGGCACAGGGAGAGGACGCAGCCCTGGCCGAAGTATGACAGCTACCCCGGAGACTGCAGGCTGCCCGCTCGCCGGAAAGGCAAGCACTGAAAAAACCAGGAGGGTAAAAAAACCCAAAAGAGCAGCCCGGCATTTCAGCACCCCGAGCAAGGCGTCACTGCGGCCGCCCAGAGCCCGTGACCGCC